GCTTTCCTTTGCTTTACTGGAAGATCAGCAGTTACTAATTTGTACACTCGAGTCCCTGTTTTGATACTGTTCATCTATAAATTTCAAAGGGGGTGCCTTCACCTTGAAGTCTTAGTGCAAAGGTATTGTCTTCAATTTTGCAAGTCTACAGTTACTAGAGTATCCCTAGACTCACCCTCACCCTATCCAAGTTCTACCCAAAAATAAACAAAAAAGAGATGCACAGCCTGTTTACTGATTCAAATGTGTGGAAATGTTGTTTGCCTGGCTGTCATGTGCCTATCAGGGAAAGGAACCTGGGATCAAACTGCCAGACCAAACCCATCTGTGAGCTACATGTATGTTCAGTAAAGTATTGAGGTTTGGCACGGCAGTCAGATAACTATTAGAGGGAGAGGTCAGCAATAGCAGCTTTCATGGTACGGTATAGTTATGACCAGTATCTTGCTGGGTTGTATACAGTAGGTTCCTGAAATATCCCAATTTCAGAGGGACATTTCTTTTATTTGAACAGTCATGCTAATTCAGAACATTTTCTATCATATAAAGTAATGGGTGACTGCTTAGCCAAGCTGTCCACCCTAGAAGTGAATGAGAAACTACCAGGCCATGCTGTCCACCATTAAAGTGACTTGATATCCCCCAAATCAGCTGTCTACCACAGATGTGAATAGGTAGTGGCCCAGTCAGTCAAGCTGTCCTAGGGTTCTTGCACTAGCAGAGCCAAACACCAACAAAGAGGCATTGCTCCTACCAAAGACAACTGATTCTAGGGCTTTTGTCCTACTGACCACTGACACTGGGGCATTATTTTTTCACAATTATTTTTTTTACACTTTTCAATTTAAGTCACAACCAATATATATCCCATGTAGCCATGCCAACTTTTTGACTTTGTCATATATGCATAAAAATATATGGGGGAAACATTGAATGCACCCTCATTCATCAAATTTGATTGTATAAAAATGTAATTTCTTCTGCACTAATTTTAATATACATGAAAGTGCACATTTCTTCAGACTATAGACATGTTTTTGACAAGCAATAAAGGATCTTTTAAACAAACCATTTCTGATCCCTTTAGCTACTTGTACCATTAAGTGATTCATTTTCAAAGCTGCTCAAAGATCACAACAAAGACTCTGAAGGCCAATTCATACCACATACACATTATTTTGTGCATAAAGCGTGCTGTGTTGCAATGCTTTATTTTTTTAAATTTGTTTTTAAAAACTGAAATGTTATTGTTATGCACTGTAGAGTGTTGCAGTGCATTAAAGCCCATCTTCTTCTTGCGTTGAGACTGCCTTGAGCAACGTTGTCCAATGCTGGTGTCAACATGCCCTAAAGTTGAGTTTAAGTTGGTTTCTAATAGGTAGAAAAATCTGCTTTTTGTTTACATTAGAGACAGGCAGACTGCCAAAATTCTGCTGTAATAGAAAACATAGACAAGAACTAAGATTTCTATGTGTTTCTTGTGAAAACAAATGTTCCTCTCTAAAATGCTTATAGCTACAGAGGTGAATGAGGGCTTGTTTTACCACTTGCCCTCCGCTCTATAGCAGGAATACTGCTACAGGGTGGCAGGATTGCGCAAAATCATGTATCTATACGTGATTTGCAATTCCGGGTAGAGGGCGTGTGCTGCCCTAGCTGAGCCACTATTGGTAGCGTGAGATGTCAATCACTGGGTCCCAGCCGGCGATTCCCAGCCGACGCTCAGCGATAAACATGGAAAGCTGACAGGGAAGAGACCTGTGTGTAAACAACACAGGTCTCTCTTCTGTCAGCAAGGACATGCTGTTTTGTTTCTCTCTGCACAGTTGAAAAATACAAACGGCATGACTTCCAAGTAAAACACAGCACACAGTAAACCACACACAGCACACAGTTAACCCTTTGATCGCCCCAGATGTTAACCTCTTTCTGCCCAGTGTCATTAGTACAGTGTCAGTGCTTTTTATTAGCACTCATCACTGTATTAGTGTCACTGGGGATGTCAGTGATAGTCAGTTCCCACCCAGTTTCCCACCCAGTGTCAGAATGCCCGCTGCAGTCCTGCTATAAGTTACTGATCACTGTCATTACTAGTATAAAAAAAAATAAAAATAAAAATTCCATTATATATACCGCCATTTGTAGACACTATAACTTTTACATAAACCAATTAATTTACACGTATTGGGATTTTTTTTTTTTTTTAGCAAAGACATGTAGCAGAATACATTTTGGCCTAAATTTATGAAGAAATTAGATTTTTTTACATTTTAATTGGATATGTTTTATAGCCAAATTTTTCGAAATTGTCAGTATTTTTTTGTTTATAGCGCAAAAAATAAAAACGCAGAGGTGATCAAATACCACCAAAAGAAAGCTCTATTTGTGGGGAAAAAAATGACATAAATTTCATTTATGTACAGCGTTGCATGACGTGCAATTGTCAGCTAAAGTAATGCAGTGCCATATCGCAAAAATGGCCTGGTCAGGAAGAGGGATAAATCCTCTGGAGGGCAAGTGTGCTTTTACTGCTTGTTCGGAATATGTAAATACTTCATCGTGCATAGTCTGGACACAGGTTCACTTTAAATCACTGAAACACCAAAGGAAAGGCTAGTCCTTTTAGTTATAGTCTCCTGTAAAAAAATAAAAGTCACCAGCTACAAAACCTGTAGCTACTGACTTATAAAAAGCAACCAACACTCACCTGTCCCACACCCGAGTCGTGTTCACCGGCCAACCTCTGTCTCTAGTGCTGACATCATAAGTGTGGGCACCCAGCTGTCTCAGCTTCCGGCTTCACTGTGCTGTGCATTGTGAATGGTTCCACAGTCTTCTGGGATCTGTCAAAATATCCAAGAAGACTGGGAGGGGAGTGAGCAGGAGTAGGAGTAGGAGCAGGCTCCTGTCAAAATCTGGTACCTGCTCCCCAAAGATGACAATCCTTTATGGGGAGCAGGGGATGAGTCGTTAAAGCTGATCTTCCCCTTTTGGGTGGAGCTCCGCTTTAAGGATTAATATGTGTCGGTATATATAGATCCTCAAGTCCATATGTTCAGTATATTTGTACATCAAAATGCTGAACTCTTTACCTAAAACCCTGCATTATTTCACCATAATACAGTATTTTTAAAAGGCTGTAGATCAAAGCAGTTACACTGTGCTCTAGCAAGCTGTGCACCTGTCAGGTCTGGTAAGTTCTTGCATCTGCTTGTACCATACAAACAGGGTACTGTTCTGTGTCCTGAAATAGTCTTTAATGAGAAGACTAGAAGAATAGCTAGAAGTACATTCTTTGTTTTCTCAACCACGTATGAAATAGGAAGGAGTAAACATATCATTCAAAATACCACATAAAGTATGTACTTGAGCAACAATTGCATTATCACTAAGCAGTGACGGCCCATAGCTCTCCTTGACCCAACAAAACACAACTTGTTGAAATAAATACTACAAGATAGAAAAAAGTAAAAATGCAAGATGTTCTGAAATTGCTACAATTACATATTGTAACTATTTAAAAAATATATTTTTTTAAAAAATGTTTGTGTGGCGCATTTAAGAATTCGTTTGCAAGAGTATGCGGGTACAGCTCCTATCTGAATCTGGTGACACCCTAGAAAGCCTGTGACACAGTGAAACAGACAACTACATATAAGACAAAACTTTATTCAGTGGTGTCTGCAAGTTGATAAAAGAAATGGTTACGGCAAGCAAATCAGCAAGTTTATTATTTAAAAGTGGAATCACAGAATTGGCAATATGAACAAAATGTGATAGCAGCACTCTTTTTCGTAGCTAGCGCAGCCAGGGGCAAACTGACCATTTGGAAACCTGGGCACTGCCCGAGGGCCCGGGGTCAGTAGGGGGCCCCATGAGATCCCCCTGGTACCTTTTTCATAGGCTTTTTTGAATTTGGGCAAGGACACAGGGGCCCCATGATCCCCTATTGCCCGGGGGCCCCATGAGTTGTCAGTCCGCCCCTCAGCGCAGCTAAATTTAATATAAGTCCCAAACTTGTCAGTTGGTGAGCTCACAAGTCTGCAATGTGACGCAGAACAATAGCATACCAATGTGCTATATCTTTAGGATACTATATACTGAAGAAATAACAGATGTTGATGTTTCGCCTTGAAGGATCTCTTCTCACTAAGTGTACTTTATTCAACAGACCTTTAAAGGATAAGTTCACCCTTTTGCAGGTAAAAAAAATGAGAATTTATTATTTTTGTCTGCAGGAGACCTGCATGGCACCAACGATCAGCAGATCGCTGGTGCCATGCAGGTCTCATGCAGATCTGTCAGTACATCTGCTTGCCCGTATGGGATGTATAAGCAAGCAGATACAGTATACTGACAGGAAGATTCTATGAACTACAATAGTGTTCCACAGCCATGTGGACAGAGCCCCGGACAGCTGCGCTGTTTTCAAATCTGACAGTACGGGGAATATATCCCCATACTAAAAACAGATGGAACATGGAACATGTCCCCAAAGGTGAACTTATCCTTTAAGCAATTGTCTATAGTTAGCCTATGTATTTAAACGCTAAGTTCACCTTTAGTAAAAAAATAATAAATGGGCATGATTTTACAGGTAAAAAATATGCGTTTTTTAAATTTTGTTACACTGGAGCCTGGAAAGCATTACACCCATGATCAGTGGATTGAGGATGCAATGTCAGGCTCTTACAGACACTGCTGCCAGTTCTCTGCCCCCCATACAGGCAGACAGTTGCTCAGTGGTAATCAGCGCCCTCGTAGTTAATTGAAAACTACAAGCCGTCTGCCATAGTTTCAGATGGGACTTGTAGTTCAATTATTCACATATTGCTGTGAATTAATAACTCCGCTCATTCACACAGCTGCTCCATTTTTAAAATGTGACAGCGCCTGCGAGAAGAATCCCTGCTGCCACAGTGAAGGTGGGGGTGAGGTGGGAGGTGTTGATATGTAACTTGCTCAGAAGGTGAATCTATCCCTTAAAGTGTTACTAAGCCCAGGACCCTGTATTCACTATATCCAGTCTTCCACAGTACACAGAACATGGAAATGCAATTATTGTAGTAAATATAAACTGCTAAATACCTTTTCTCATCAGCAGTATATAGCAGTCTTTTGACTTCTATCAGTGTCCAGCAGACACTGATAAAGCTTGTAGCAGACGTTTTCATTCTCCCCTGATTGTCCTATGAGGCTGCAGGACCCCTGACCTTATGTCTAATTGGCCCTGTGCTGATCACATGCACTCTCCCAAGAAAAAAAAACTCTCTAGCAATACACACCAATTTGAGCATGTACAGCTTGCCCTCAAGGCTCTGTTCCATCTGCAGATGGATTGGGGACTGTGGAAGAAGGGGAAGATCAGAGAAGACAGGATCAAACATCCTTTTTACACAATTCAGAGGATTAACCCCTTAGGTTCCACAGTGAGTATAATAAGCTTTACTGCATATACAGACTGATTTTACTGTTGTGGGTTACATAGTTACATAGTTAGCCTGGGTGAAAAAAGACAAAAGTCCATCCAGTTCAACCATAAAAAAAAAAAGAAGTTATAATCCTATACCCACAGTTGATCCAGAGGAAGGCAAAAAACCCAGCAAAGCATGATCCAATTTGCTCCTGCAGGGGAGGCAATCGAATATTCCCTGGATCAACTTTACCTATAAATGTTAGTATCCAGTTATATTCTGTGTATCCAAGAAACAATCCAGGCCTTTTTTAAAGTAATCCGCTGAGCTGACCAGAACCAACTCTTGAGGGAGTCTATTCCACATTTCCACAGCTCTCACTGTGAAGAAACCTTTCTGTGTTTGGAGATTACATTTCTTTTCCTCCAGACGTAAAGAGTGCCCCCTTATCCTCTGTGATGACCTCAGGGTGAATAGCTCTACACCAAGTTTACTATATGAACCACTGATGTATTTATATATGTTGATCATATCCCCCTTAATCTCCTCTTCTCAAGAGAGAATAAATTCAGTTCCTCTAATCTTTCCTCATAGCTGAGCTCCTCCGTGCTTGTTATCCGCTTGGTTTCCCTTCTCTGTACTTTCTCCTGTTCCCCAATGTTCTTTTTTGTGAATTGGTGCCCAAAACTGAACTGCATATTCCATATGAGGTATTACTAATGATTTGTACAGGTGTAGTATGATATATCTCTCTCTGGAGTCTATACCTCTTTTAACCATTAGCCGCCCGGCGACGTATTTTGGCGGCTTCAGATGTGCTCCTCCATTCCGGGTGCACGCCATTTGGCGTGCTCCCGCACATGCGCCGTTTGTGCTAGTGCAGAGCAGCGCAGCAGTGCGATCTGTTGGCGGCCGTGCACCTCGGACACGGCCGATGACAGATCCGAGTGCCGGCTCCCGTTGCTGGTACCATGTGACCTGCTGTGACCAATCACAGCAGGTCACATGACAGTTGTATACATGGATGGCTTCATTCATGATGCCATCCATTGTATACTAGTGCCTAGCTGTGAATGGTCACAGCTAATCACATGCACATGCCATGTGATTAGCTGTGACCAAATCACAGCTAAGCAAAAAAAAAAAAAAAAAAAAAAAAAAAGCTGAATGAATCGATTTCATTCAGGTAAATGCTTGCTTATAGCAAAGTAATTCTTTGCTATAAGCAAATTGTGTAAAAAAAAAAAAAAAAAAAAAAAACTGATCACTTCCCCAAAGTAGTACAATGTTACTATGGTAACATTGTACTATTTTGGTCATAGTAAAATATGAAAAAAAATCTTAAAAAAAAAAAAAAAAAAAATGTAATAAAAAATTAAATATAATAATAAAAAAAAAAAAATAAATAAAAAAAAAAAAATATATATATATATTTTTTTTCATACTGTCACCAGTCAGTGTCCCTGTTCACCGCCATGCCAGTTATATGATGCTGTACTGCACTGGTGACAGTATGTAAAAAAAAAAAAATAGTGAAAATAATTTTTTTCATTTTTTCATTTTCAGGAAAATTATGACAAAAAAATACAACTTCAAAAAACTCGCCATGCCTCTTATGAAGTACGTCGGACTGTCTACTCTGCAAAAAGGGGTCATTTGGGGATATCTGTACTATTCTGACATTCTTGGACCTCAAGAAATTAGATTGGCCGTCAGTACTTCAGGATTGATCAATATTCAGATCTATACCATAGTTTGTGAACTCTATAACTTTCCTACAAACTAAATAATACATCCTAATTTGGGTTATTTTCACCAAAGACATGTAGCAGAATACATCTCGGCCTAAATTTATGAAGAACAATTATTTATTTGTAAACTTTTATAACAGAAACAAAGAAAAATGTGGGTTTTTTTTCAAAATTTTTGGTCTTTTTTTGTTAATTTAGCAAAAAATAAAAACCCTAGCAGTGATTAAATACCACCAAAAGAAAGCTCTAGTTGTGTGAAGAAAATGATAAAATTTTAGTTTGGGTACAGTGTTGTATGACCGCGCAATTGTCATTCAAAGTGTGAGAGCGCTGAAACCTGAAAAATGGCCTGGGCAGGAAGGTGTAAAATTGCACGGTATTGAAACGGTTAAACAAGAGAGGATTTTGCTCGGTTTAGAAACCACAGCTTGGCATTGCATGCCATTATTAAGCTTGTGATCTACCAGAACCCCCAGATCCTTCTGCACCATTGATTCCCCCAGTTGTACCCCCCTAGTAGGTATGATACATGCATATTCTTAGCCCCCAAGTGCATAACCTTACATTTATCAACATTAAACCTCATTTGCCACATAGTTGCCCAAATAAACAGTGGATTGAGGTTGGCTTGTAAATTGGAGACATCCTGTAAAGACATTATTCCACTGCACAGCTTGGTGTCTGCAGACTGAAATGGGATTTTTAATCCCAGACCCTATATCATTTATAAATATATTAATAAGTAAGGGTACTAACACTGACCCTGGGTGTACACCACTGACAACCCTAGACCATTCAGAGTATGAATCATTAACCACTACTCTCTGAATACGATCTTTTAGCCAGTTTTCTATCCATTTACATACAGATTTTTCCAATTCTGTAGACTTTACCTTACACATTAGCCATGTGTGGGGAACTGTGTCAAAGGCTTTTGCAAAATCCAAGTATACCACGGCCACCGCCACCCCTCTGTCCAAGGTTTTGCTGACCACCTCATGAAAAGAAATCAGATTTGTTTGACAACTTCTGTCTTTCTTGAATCCATGCTGTCTGTTGCTTAAAATTTTTTTCCAGCAAGAACTCATCTATGTGGTTTTTTATTAAACTCTCCAGTATCTTTGACCCCTTTTTTAAATATTGGCACCGCATTGGCCTTACACCAATCCAGTGGTACTATGCCAATCATTAAAAAGTCCCTAAAAATTAGAAACAATGGCTTTGAAATGACAGAGCTCAATTCTTTAAGGACCCATGTGTGTATGCCATCCGGTCCAGGTGCTTTATTCACCTTTTTCTGTCTAAATATTTCTGGATCATATCAATTGATAGCCAATGTGGATCATCTGGAGCTGTGTCCATACCATGCCCATTATGGACAAGAGCTCCCCCCATGCTCCTTTGTATACACAGAGCTGAAGAAGGTATTTAATACATTTGTTTTCTCTTTGCTCCCAGTCACCCACTCTAGATTATTTTGTAAGGAGCCTACATGCTCGGTCCGGACCTTTTTACTATTAATATATTTGAAGACTTTTTTGGGGTTGGTCCTGCTATCTTTTTCAATCTGTCATTCGTTTTCAAGTTTTGCGGCCTTTATTTCCTTTTTGCATATTTTGTTATATTCTTTGTAATGTTTAAACAATGATAGTGTTCCTTCATTTTTATATTTTATAAAAGATCTTTTCTTATTATTTATAGCTTTTTTTAACTTTGGCCGTAAGCCACATAGGTTTGATTTTTAGCCTTTTAGACTTGTTGCTCATGAGAATATATTTTGCAGTGTGTTCATATACAGCCTTTTTGAAGAACTCCCATTTCTGTATTGTGTTCATCAATGCCAATATTCCCTCCCAGTCTAAGTTTTGGAGAGCGGCTCTTAGCCTTGGAAAGTTAGCTCTCTTAAGGTTGAGCGTTTTATTTTTCCCATATGTGCTTGCTGTTTACAGCTAACAATAAATGAAATCATGTTATGGTCACTGCTACCCATATATTCTTTTATATGGACATTCGTAATAAGCTCTGCATGGTTTGAGATTACCAGGTCCAGCAAAGCATCATTCCTAGTTGGGGCCTCTATGAACTGTACCAAAAAATTGTCCTGTAGTAGCTTTAACATTTTTTGCCCTTTAACTGTTCCTGCAGTACCATTACTCCAGTTAATTTCTAGGTAGTTAAAATCCCCCATTATTATCACTGTCCCAGCCCTTGCAGCCCTTTAGATCTGTGCAAGGAGCTGAGTCTCCACCTCCTCATTAACACTGGGATGCCTGTAACAAACTCCAATGATTACCTTTGTAGTAGACACCCCCATGTGCAGTTCCATAATGCTTCAGCCTCATCACACTCTCTATCAACTAGGTCCTCTTTCACACTCGCTCTGAGATCACTTCTCACATAGAGACAGACACCACCACCTTTCCTTTTTACCCTTTCTTTCCGAAAGAAAACATAGCCAGGAATATTAATGGGCCAGTCATGTGAAGAATGAAGCCAAGATTCAGCAATACCAATTAAATCATAGTTCTCTTCATGCAACAAAGCTTCCTACTCACCTATTTTGCTTGGCAGACTTCTGGCATTGGTGGACAAACACTTTAATCCATTGACACCATTTGCACACGTATTTTGCATATTTTTTATTTTCATACAAATGGTACCAATTCCAATGGTTGATTGTAACATAGGAAGCTTCTTATCATCTGCCATAGCCCTCCCCCCATCTTTCCCCATTACACCCACCAATAAGGACTGACTCTTGTCTGATCTGTCTGCCCTTTTATAATATATTTCTGTCTCCCCCCCTTGATCCTAGTTTAAATACTCTTCCAGTCTCCCCATAAACCTCTCCCCCAGCACAGCAGACCCCCTTCCATTTAGGTGCAAACTATCTCTAGCATATAGGTTGCACCTCAATGGAAAGTCAGCCCAGTACTCCAGAAACCCAAATACGTCCCTCTTACACCAGGTCTTTAGCCATGCATTTAGTTCTCTAATCTTCTTTCCTGAATTGCACATGGAACAGGTAATATTTCAGAGAATATCACCTTGGAGGTCCTTCCCTTCAACTTGCAGCCTAGTTCTTTAAATTGATTCTTAAGGAGTCTCCACCTTCCATGTATTCTGTAATTGGTTCCAACACGGACCAAGACAGCTGGGTCATGCCCAGCCCCTCCCAGTAATTTATCAACCCGGTCCACCACATGCCGAACCCTGGCACCAGGGAGACAGCAAACCATTTGGTTGAAGTGATCCTGGCGACAAATTATTCTATCAGTCCTTCTGATTATAGAATCCTGTACTACCACCAACTGTCTAGGCCTTCCTGCACTACCCTCACCACCCCTCCCAGATGGTCTACCTTCCTGGCTGTTAGGGATAGCAGTGACATCCAGGGCTGCCACCCCTGAGCTTGTCACCCCCACATCTTCACCCAACTTGGCAAATCTGTTTGGGTGCACAAACCCAGGGCCGGCCTTTCTTTTCTGTGAGCCCCTACCACTCCCGCTTGCTACAGTAACCCATCTTCCTACCTGATAATCCTGATTAGACCCTCCACCCTCCACATCAATTCTTTTAGCTATCTGCTCAGGGAGCAGAAGACCCCCCCTTTCAAAGGTTGTCGGTTCTGCCCAGCGTTGCAACTTGCTCCTCCAGATCTCTAACGCGAGCTTCCGGAAGGGCAAACTGCTCACAGGCAATCTGGAGAATGAGCAAGCTCAGAGTGAGCTCTACAGCAGGTTATATAGTACCTGTAGCACCGGTGACCAAACTTTAAAACTTTAAACTGTTGCTAAATCCAGGACCCTGCATTCACTATATCTGGTCTCCCACAGTACACAAAACATGGAAGTGCAATTATTTTAGTAAATATAAACTGCTAAATACTTTTTTTTCATCAGCAGTTAGAGGAGTCTTGGGATTTCTATCAGTGTCCAGCCGAGCACTGGTTAAAGCTTGTAGGAGGAGTTTTCATTCTGCTCCATGAGGATGCAGGACCCCTGACTTCTGTCTGGACAGTGCTGATTGGCCCTGAGCTGATCACATGCACTCTCCCAAGAAAAAAAAAAACCTCTCTAGCAATACACACCAAACTGAGCATGTTATGTCTTATCAGGAGATAAGAGCGGGACACTTGAAGAAGGGGAGGATCAGAGTAGACAGGATCAAGAAGCCTTTCTACACAATGCAAAGGTTTAATATCTTAGGTTCCACAGTGAGTATAACAAGCAAGCTGTACCGCATATACAGACTGATTTTACTGTTGTGGGTTTAGTAACACTTTAACTGGCAGTCTCTCCTTGACTATGCAATACAGTCTATGACACCAGCTGGAAATATTGTAAAACCACGTTGCAGCAAAATTAAGTCATTTTGGAAATATGAGAAACAGTAACTGTAGCGCAAACAACTTTCTTGTGAAGACCATGTGGCGCTTACAATGCAGCCTTTTAGGCAGACAGAAAAACAGGTGTAAATGGCTCCCGATTCTCTGTGCTGAACAAACTGGAATTTGGCTAAAAGAATCCAGCATAATATCACCATGATGCCTTTCTCAACTTTCTTCTTCCAGAAAGCTCCATCACCAATGTCCTTCCTCCCAGATCATTTCTCTCTGATGTCACACAATACAAGCTGTACTTGTATCTATCTCTGTTTAACTAACTGTCCTTTAGAAGTAAATTGAGGTGGCCATTTGGGGATAGCCTGAAATCCATTGCTGGAAAGCTACTAGGAACAGATTGGCCTCCAGTGGCAGAAAACAGTCTGTGTGAAATGATAAATAATCTGCCACATAACAGGTGCATAATAAACAGTTCTGCTGTATAACAACACAATAGGTAGAAAATAAACTATTTCTGAAGTGACTACATTTTAAAAAAGGCTCAGTTTAATGTTATGTGAAGCCTGGTAGAGAGCCACTAGCTTTCTATATATCTTATACATGCAATATTAATAACTACCTACAGTAATACCTTTTCCAGGCCCCTAGGAGATTTTAGTGTTTTCCTCTCCTGTTGCATTGTACTTAATGCAGAACAAATAGAAAATCACACTCACTGGGGCCCCTTCACAATGGTCACAGCAGGTGTGCAGACCCAGAAACTCAAGTACACTCTTTAGTATCTTCCAAAAACTGAAATATCAGTTTTGAGTGGACTGATCATTCAATAAAGAGAAAGACAGTAGCAGGGGTGGACTGACAACTCATGGGGCCCCCGGGCAATAAGGGATCATGTAGCCCCTGTGTCCTTGCCCACACTCAAACCACACCCAAAAAAGCCTATGAAAGGTACCAGGGGCATCTCATGGAGCCCCCTACTGACCCCGGGCCCTAGGGCAGTGCCCGAGTTCCCAAATGGTCAGTCCGCCCCTGGACAGTAGGCAATAACACCTAGTTTCCCAACATTTACGAGACCAGTTGTAAGACTGTGAAGGATGTGATGAACTGCATTGTTAAGAAAAGGGATCCATATATCGTTGAATAATTTTGACAAAACATTAATCTTTGAACAGTCTGTACACAAAGAATACTTTGGCCTGAGTTTTAGTTAAAATATTCAGAAGTCTGGCATGACTCTTTGCAAAACTGGAAATGATACAGCAGTGGTCTCCAAACTACCCTTTGCGTGCCCTTATCCAGCCCTTGGGGCACTTATTCTCCCACTGATACAAGACACTATTCCTCTCACTGACACCAACAAGGGGCATAATTCCTGATACTGACACCAACAACAGGCACTATTCCTCCCATTGACACCTACAATGGGGCACTATTCCTCTCATTTACACCAACAAGTGGGCACTATTCCTCTCACTGAAACAAACCATGAGGCACTATTCCTCCCACTGACACTAACAACGGGGCACCATACTTCCTACTGTCACCAACGATGGGGCACTATTTCTCCAACTTACACCAAGAATAGGGCACTATTCCTCCCCCTAATACCAAAGATGAATTGTTTACTCCCAATGACACAGGACAATTTCTACTCCCAATGGCCACAGTCCAGCCCGCCTAAAGTTTGAAAGCCAGTAAACTGGCCCTTTGTTTAGAAAGTTTGGAGACCCCTGTGATAGAGTCTTAAAGCCCAACTCCAGGATATTAGCAATCCCCCTTCCAACCACTCTAACTAACCACTGGTATGAAAAAAAGATATCTAAATACCCATGTCGTGTGATGATCTTTCTCTTTTTTTTCTCTTTCCTTCCTGTGGTTCTCCTTTGGGTGTCCACATCACTGTCTGTATGATGAGGACATCTATCAGTGGAGGAGACACTTGCAGTAGCCAGGTTCTCTCAAAGGCTCCAGATGCAAGAGATCTCATGGAGGCAGTGAGGGGGACATGTGCCCAAGAACAAGAGTCTCCAAACTATGGCCCTCCAGGTGTCCCATGAGGCCTTGCAAGACTTTGACAGCCACAGGCAAGACTCCCAGAGGCAGAGGCATGATGGGACTTGTAGTACTTCAACAGGTGGAGGACCATAGTTTGGAGACCCCTGCCCAAAAAGATAGCAAACAGGGAAAATGCTTGGTCCTCAGGATAGGAAATTAGCTTGGCTCACTGAGGTAACTGTAACTTTTATACATTACACTGTAGAATGGCTTAGGAAAAGGTGTTTGGAATCAAGGCTGAGGAGTAAGATAATTAAGGTACAATGCACTCAATGTAAGTTTAATTGGGCTTTATGTGTGCACTGATGATATGTTGCATTGAAATACAAAGAAAAAAGAAAATAATGCCATGATTCTTAGCAGCGTAACCAATGGTGTTGATTTAGTAAAAGAAATAGAGGCTGTTTAACCTCTTGCCCCCCACTTAATGCATATGTGGGTGGCAAGAGGCTAAAGGATACTCACACGAAGCACACATGTGTCTATTGATGGTCATGGTTTCAGTGCTGAAAGTGTGCTCACTGTGCATTCCCAGCACAGTGACTTAGCTGTTTTAAAGATGTGACCACCGTAACAGTCAGAATGCAAGTGTACAATCCCAACACACACGTCCCTGCTTTAAAAATGGCTGCGTGTATAAGTGGGTGCTGCGGTGACTGTCGGCTGGAACCAAACAGAATCAGCAAGGGAGAATGTCACCATCACACCGAGGATCACCAGTATGGGTCCAAAGGTTTTAATGAACGATCGTATAGTTACAGCAAATCAACGTTACCAGAGCCTTCATGCCTGATGAAGGGGTCCTGCGAGACTCCGAAACGTTGCCTTGCTGTAACTATGTGATCGTTCATTAAAACTTTTGGACCCATATTGGTGATCTTTGGTGCGCTGGTGACATTCTCCCTCACCGTAACAGTCAATCACAGTGGTCACATGATCAGGTAGGTCATCCTACCGCTCCGGGCATATAGGCCCACTTAAAGGGATACTGGGGCTAGACAGGAAAGAGTTCAATTGCTAAGTGTATGTTGACTTTGCACAGTGAATGTTCATGAATAAGGTAAACAATTTGTTTGCTTTGAATACCCAATCATGTCTGAGGAAAATGGGAAAAAGAACAGAATTTTTCTAGTATGTGATTGGGTTTTCACACATTCATACATAACACAGGTTTACCGTTTTTAATTACAACTTTCACCTTGCAATTAGGAAAGCTTTCAAAGCAAGGCCAATGATTCTGTATCACCAGTGCTTCTACTGGGGAAAAGGAAACATGAAAATACAAAAAAAGTGGGGAGGTTGGTGTAATGAAGTCAAGCAAAAAAGCTGAGGATGGCAGTATGGGTGACAGAAGTACTCTCCCAGACCTCAATACCTACTGCAGCAAAAAAGTAACTGAAAAAGGACAAGGTACACTGGAAACATGGTGCAAGGAAAGAATCCCAGCAACAGAGTAAAAATTGTCCTTTCAGCTCACGTATTTTATTATGGATTCCTGTCACATTTATCACAGTTTTAAATTTTTAGGCTTGCAGCCATTACAATTTTCCCATTACCACACAATGTTATTTTTAGATTTAGGAAATGTTTGCAATAAACAACCCTAATAAAATGACCAAATCCACTGCTAGATTATTTCTATGTCTCACAATTATATTTTTATAATTTATTTTTCAAGCAACATTTACACACTATAAAATGCATTTTACATTTAAAATGTTAAGAGCACACAAGGGGCTGACATACATTTTTCTGAACAGGGACACTTTGGGGAGTCCCTGCAGTTTTGATCCCAAAAAAATCCGTTAATGTGTAGGTGTTCTTGATTTGAAGTATGAGCTTTCCATGGGATTGTGTGGGATTTCATGGAGATTACAGAGCACATGCCCAGGCCTGGCTGAGAACTTGATAAGAGTTATTGACAAGCGGCTTTGCGGCGCCAAGGAGGCTATACAGATGAGATATTGCTGGACCAGGGAAGGGTGAGCTGCTGGACAAGGGACTGAGAATGGGAGAGGGAAAAGTGCAAAATGAGCCACAAAATGGTGCAACTTCTTTCAGCACCTTCTTGTATTTCTATGTCTTTAAGAAAAGAAAGACTGGAATTTTAAATATTTGTTAAAATGCACCTATTTTCTGTTGTACCTTTGTCATTCTGGTTCCATAACAGCTTACATATCACACTATAGGGTCAGAAAATAAGCTGCATAAAGGATTGTATTGATTGTGGACTCTTCTTGTCAGAAAAAGTGTGAGACAGCTAATCTCTTCTAATCCACACGCTTGTAGCAGGTACTAGCTCTGGAGCAGATTTAATCAAACAAGAGCATGCTGAGCATTCCTTTTCTAAAAACAATTATTTATCCAACAGAATGAAATATACAGATTTCAGGGCATTAAAGTACGTTGACGATTGTATGTTTAACTGATTCTCAAATCTTTGGTCATTGCAAAACAGTGGGATTTTCAAGAGGATGCTTCCCTTAAGCTTCCACTCTTTCAAATAGGTTATTCAAAGGTTGTTGTTCCACCTGATATGGACTTGATTCCCAATTCTAGTTTGCTGCCATAAGTGTGCCTGGTGTTTTACCTAAGTGGTATATTAAATTCTAAATATCCTGGGGAATACCTTGCTGTTTCCCAGTGTGGTGCAAAATCATTGCTATTGTCCTACTTTTCTGATTAATTGTTGGCAGTGTGATGCAATGCCCCATATTGGTCTGGGC